TTACTTTTTCTATGATTAAATCTTTTGTATACTTTGAAAGAGCATAAAATGTCAACCTATAAATGTCAATAAAGTCTATTCAGTTTTATTCAAATCTGTTTTAAAATATCACTAACAATCTGCAGATAAATTGCAGCTTATCAATCAAGCAATTTATGATATATGAAATAATTAACAAGGCATTCGCAGTCATGCCCATACGGGAGGGTCTAACTCATTATAGGATCGTCCCGCATGACAGGAGTGAGGAACGATGTCCCAATCCGTACTAATGATACAAACAATTCTTTTTTACATTCATTTGAAGAACTATAAAGAATATTACATGTAAAATATATACAAAATTCAAATAATTCTGGCAAATGCCTTTGTAGATGTCCACATTTCTAAGTTTTATTTAAATTAGTTTACAGTTCTTAATTACATGGCCACACGGTAAATTATCAGCTATTGCTGTGATAGAAAAGGCTTCGAATAATAATAATAATAAATGTTTCCTATTCCTTATCTATTCTTCCTATCTATCACAATGCGAAGCTGGTTTTTTACAAGAGTTAATTGGGGCCATAAGATTTCATCTACAATTATTATCATTTTATAAACTTTCGAATAAAAAAATGTAATCTTATAATAATTAATTTTGTTAATTTAATTAGTAATTAGTTACTTTTGTTAATAAATATATAACAGATAATTTTGTTAATCGATTGTTTATGAATAAGATTAAATTAATTCTATATTCTTTACTCACTTTTTATTTTCTCGCCTGTTATACAATACCAATATCGAGAAATGCCAAAAAAGTATGAGGAGTTTTCTTTCTATGTGTATAGATGTTAGTGGGGGTAACTAATTTGTTCGCCTAATTTAAAGCTTAATAACTCCTGTTCCTTTTGTTGGAAATTTCTGAAATTTTGTAGGGAGGTTTTCGTATTGGAAGAAAATGTTTCTAGAAATTTTCAAGAAAATCAGATCATTGGTTCGGGAGATATGGTTTCATTCTTTAATATCTCCCGAATCAATCTGAAGACAAAGGTAACTTTTATAACATGAAGCTAATAGGGAAAAAATGTATAAAATAAATATTATACTTAATAAAAAGGAAGGAAATAGAAAATAAAAATTAGATTAAAACAAATATAATATTGAATGTAACACAAAAAAGTTGGCAAGAGATCAAAAGAACCCTTGCCCAAAGCTCAAATAAGGAAATTAAGGAGGAACTCGAGGAGGTTAAGGGTCCATTAGGAAATCCAATCATTTTCAATTATAGTATGATATAAAATTTAAGTAATAACAAAAGCTTAAAAAGAATAATTTTGTTGTACAGTATTATGATAAAAATATCTATTTAAAAAAAATATTTAAGTTTAAAAAACTCCATGACACTAGCTGAAGGTTTTAAAATTGCGTGTGGCACCATCTGTTAGATTTTATTAAAAGTAACTTTTATATTATTAATTTATATAAAAATGCTTAATATTTCAGGGTAAAGACGTGTATTAGAAAATACTGTAAGTGCCAATAACGAGTAAAATTTCTGTATTATAAGTTCTACCTCGGACCTACCTCTGGTCGTGGGTTCACGCTTTGCCAACGGGGTATTTTCCGGGTCTGTAACCACGTAAATAGTGCCAATTTACCACAAAAGACCACCCGGGGGGTATTTTTTCCTGGGCAGATCGACCACGTTTAGCGTTGCCGTATACAATAAAACCAAACCAAAGAATAAAAATAAAGATTAAAGCTATACACTTTCTGTATATCTTATGGAGAAAAAAAAAGGCATTTGACCATAAGATCATTTTTTTTAAAATAAAAGATTGGTTTGGAGCCTCACCAAAAGAGGCCCCAAACCAATCTTTTATTAAAAAAAAATCTTTCCCTCGAGGAAAAATGTCTCAAGTCAACACTGTAAATGGGCCCATAATTCAAATTTACCTGGGCCCTAAGATCTTATAACACGCCACTGTTTAAATTAAGTGTTTATTTAAAGGGGGAAAAACAGATCTGAACCCCAAAATTGTCTTTTATGTAAAGAAAATAATTAAAAAAGTAATCTAAATTAAAATTTATTTTGGTAAGCGATGAAAAAATCTATTCTTATTTCTTTAATTGATTTTATTCAAATATTTTAATTGCTTTTAGAGAGAGTGGATGGTTTTATATTTGCATATGGAAATAATATAATGTTCTCAACTACAATAGTTAAACTAAGAATTGTAAATTAAGTAAATTTGAATAAGCCTGTGGCAAAAAGTATAAAAAACAAAGAAAATCGAACCGTCAAACGGATTAATAAAATTGAAACAGTCAAGCTGATTATCATTTATATATATATAAAAAAAGCACTTAAGAACAGGCGGTAGGATATTATTAAAAAATACAATATAACCTTTTGACATTTAATCTATAATTAAAGGTCAAAAATAGTATTAAGTTATTCATCTAATACGTTTAATTTCTATAAAAAGGAACGATAAATTCTTTTATTTCGTTTTGTAAATTACAAAAGAATTGACAGATTTTAGGTTGTGTGAGATCCTAAAAATATGTTAGGCCCTTTCTATAATACCTTTACATAATGTAAAGCTACTACTGGACTAAGCATGTATTTTTGTCTAGGATCTCAAAGCTCGAGGCCATATTCACAAGTCTCTGTGCTTAAACTGCCATTGCAGAAGAATTACTAAAGGCTCTTTAATTGTTTTTCTTCTCGTGTTAACAGCCATTTTGACGCAAACTTTATATAAAACTTTTTTCATATTATTGACAAAAATTATTATTGTGATTTTACGTAATGAAATATACTGGCCATCATTTATAAAATACTATAAAAATATGTTAACTATACGCTTTTTATTAACTAAAATTTTCGCCCAATTCCCAATTAAATGCTAAACCAAGAAGAATTTCTGTAATTAAGCTTCAAACAGGGTGAAAAAAATCGTGCTCCCCTCCACACATATAGGCTACTAACATAATATAGGAAAAAAAACCAAATTTTTCGCATTTCTCGACGTTTTAAGGTATTTTTATGTTTGGTCGCATAATACTGCACCAAGAATTTAACTTTTTAATGCATTTATATGAATAAAAAGCGTTTCTTTAAAATATTTTTCCTGTTTTTTTTTCAACTAAAGTACAGTAGACTCCCCTATAACACTGTAGATAATTCCGTGTTATATGAATTCCATGTTGTACGAGTCAGATTTTACAAATACGTGAGCCGTTCACAGCCCGGAACACGTATTTGTAAAATCTAAGTGACTCATACAACATGGAATTCATATAACACGGAATTATCTACAGTGTTATAGGGTGGATCTACTGTATCATTTTGGTGCAGAACTGCAAGAGGCATAATAAAGATTGCATCATCCATGCATAACATTAGCAAAAAGATATAAGAAACCAAAACATTAAAAATAGTTTTAAAAGTCAAAATTGTTCGCTATTTAAATTATTTTCGTAATTTGGTGTGATTTTTGCATATCATATACACATTATAAAGATGAGAACGCTTTTCGTTGACTGATAAAGAATGCCAGCTTGTTTCCGGGTGGTTGCATTATCCATTGGCATAAAAATCTGGAAAGTTTTCGATAATTAATGCTGAGTAAAATGTTTGTAAGTGTTGCTTCGAATGCTGAAGGATAGCCTCACGTGAAATTAGTACAGAGAGTGACCTATCGTCGGTTAACAATGGCGCATTTGTTCAAAAGAGACACGAACATGGTAACATTGAAAGAAAAGTGAGCATGAGTATCAGGATAGGATACTGAAGCTCTTAGCCTGCGATGACATACTGCTAGTTTTTCGAACTCACAGTGGAAAGAAAGAGCGTGCATTCGTAAATGCGAGTGCACGAACATCATCTGTCCTGTTTGCAACATGGATAAAATTAAAAGCCCCCAAGCACATCAATGGCTGAGTGGATAAAATCACTGAATATTGATAGTTGGTAGTAGTTTCGTGCCTACTGGTTGCCTACGTGAAGTTTTACAGGCTTTTTTTCATCTAATATATGTGTCAGACCTCCCGCGTGACATCCCCACTCGGCAGATCGCCCATCTGTTGCGTTTCGTATAAGAATAAAACCAAAACAAACTACAAGCCGTCCACGTAAAGTGCCATTATTGATGAGTGAAATGCGCAGACAGTGGCTTATCTGGGCTAAATAGCATGCAGACTGGAGCATTAACATGAAGATCCTGTCTTTGACTCCAAACTTAATCTACACAGATCGCACTGTAAAAAAAAAAAAAAAAAAAAACAGTATAGCCTTTCTCATCTTGCCCATTGGTGGCCTGGTGTATAAAACCAGTGAACATTAGTCATGGGTTCGCGGGTTGGCCTCGTAGAGTTTTTCGTGTTTTTTCACGTTTGTAACACCTAAATAGGGCCAATTTCCTCATAGAAAAGCCTCATGGCAGGCATCCTCCCTTCGGCAGATCGCCCACGTGTCGCATCGCTGTAAACAAATTAACCAGTCTTTATCACCTCGGCCATCTGGCCGACATTTATTAGATATCATAATTATTATTTTGTTGTAATAATATAATTTTATGATTTTTAATATTTGAATTTTTCAATATTGTTCTTTTTTGTACCAACAACAATTGGAAGCGAAAAATTAAGTTGCTTATTAAAGCGCCAACGGGTTAAGACACGAGGAAAACTGGTCTATTGGTGGGGAGGGGGGCAAATCCACGATCAGTGGTTGAGTAGTTTTTATTTATTTGGCTACCGGAGGACATAAACTCAGCTACACAGTTATATTAAAAGGTCATTATATGGAGTGCCGAATTAGTAGATATAAAAGTTATCGAATTGATACTAATGCCAGGGTGTACTCAATGTCCTTAACGAAAGTGCTGCCATCTAGCGAAAGAACGATCATTTTTCACTGCATTTTAAACGATAAAATAAGATTAATTAATTTAAATTTTGGCTATAAAAATGGTTTAATACTTAATATAATTTCAATACATGAATTATATAAAAAAACATATTAGAAATATTTAATATATAAAGAGATATACAAAGTGATTGGCACCGGTTTAACCACGATGAAATTAATATATTGTATTGTACAAAATGGCATTTACATGATAAATTTCACATTCATTCAAGGAGGAGCACTTCATGTCACTTCTTTTTTTATAAAATACTTCTGAAGTGGAGTAATTAGCAAGAGGAACGGATGGATGAAACAAAGGACGAGCATCCCCGCATTAAATATGTTAAACTGTAAGAAAAACCTTTTAATTAACATATTTTTACAAAAAATACATTATGCAAGTACAAGCAGATAAACATACACATACTGTGCATACATACACAGGACCAGCCAGAGCTATAGGCTCACTAGGCAATCATCTAGGGCACCCCTTTAACTGATGCTGGCTATTGTGCCAAAAACTCTTGGGCCGGCCCTGTATATACATACATTACCATATGGATTCACACGTACTGTACACTACATACATACACAAAACATTATAAAAATGATTACGATTATAAATAATACATACGGAAAGAGCATCTTCTGAGGATTTCGATTCCCAGATAAATAATGGGTACTGCAATAAAGTGAACATTCCAGCTATTGTGCTCATTATTCCGAGTAGTTTATTAAAATGTGTTGCAGGAAATCTGATACATATTAATGTTATTTAAGTTTAATATATTCTCAATTGATGATATTTATTAAAATTAATTTACTAGAAACATATATATGTTACCTGATTCGAAGGTAAGCAGTTGCAACTGCAACAAGCAGAGAACGAAGAATGGTTATGAAGACAACTGAAATGTATACGGCGTTAACCGTGTTAAAGAATCTACAAATCTGTATAGCACCTTGATTAACGGTAGTAAGGAGCAATGGCCAGAATCCTGATTGATAGACTTTTAATTTTCTTAGATCTGGATCGTCTTCTGTGAATTATACGAAGTTCAGTTTAATTTTTAAATTTATTTAACTACTTCTTCGAAGTTTTTTTCTTATTTTAAGGAAAGACATGAGTTTAAGAGTATTATGCACCCAAATATTTATAATTTTTTCCGTTGTTCTAGATTAAAATTGTGTCGCAATGTACCGTACACGTGCGACACAATACGAAAGCTAAACCTAAAACTTTGGCTTTTAATGTCAGAAATGTGTAGATAAGGAATAAATGTTTTTAATGAAGGAAAAAATCGGCGACATTGATATAAAAACGGCTGAAATTTTTCTTCAAAAGTAGCCCATTAGAGAGAAATCACAGGATTTGGAAACACTATATCTTCCAAATCATTCATAATTGTGGAAGATAGTAATCCTCATAGTTGAAACTATTGTCTTCAATCTATCCTCAAACGAATATTTTTTATATAATCTGCAGCAAAATTAATGACCGGAGTTCGAAATAAAGGAATTTTACCAAAATATTTTGAAATTTGCTCGTTATACGACGTAAAAAATCCCATATATTTGTACATTGAATTTGAAAGAGATTGTCAATTAGATCAAGGAAGAATTTGGAATTGAAGAATTTCCTGCGGTTAGTTCAGGAAGGGATAGCAAATGCTATTTAGCTTGACATTAGGACACAGAAAGGCCTCCGATGTGGAAAGTGCCATCGCTATATTTTGTTTGAGTGAACCGTAACAGAAAACACCGATGTATCAATTCACAGAATCATCCGAGTTCAACAGGTTGCCACCACGATCTTAGGAAAAATATTCATCAATGGTAAACCATTAAACGTAGTTTATGGAAATCAGGATAACACCATCTATTACTTATATTCACAATATATTCGGTCAGTCACAATGATTGGATTATGTTAACCGGATATCAAGGCAGTAAAGATTGTTTGCATCACTGTATGATCCGGGTTCGTGTCCGGATCGGGATCATCAGGAATTTTTCTTAGTTGTTTGTCCTGCATTTGTCGGATCCCACCGGCCATCCTTCATGGCGGACCTGGTCAAACCCATAATGGCATTGATTAAAGACCCTCTTTGTACACATATAGAGGAGAGCTAAAAGAACTATTTTCCACCATCCAGAAACAAATGGAAACCTCGCTACAGAATTCTGCCCCTTCCTGTACCATTGGCAAACGACTAACACAAGCAAATTTGCATACACAGCAACCATTAACGTCTTGCCTTTAGCAGCTCAAATCAGCAGCTGCTTGAAACAAAGTTGTACGGTGAGTTTTGCAGTTATCTTGGTACGTAACTCTTTGTTAGTGCCCACCAGTGGCCAAGCGGTATTCGTTCCCTAAACACTGGGAGTTTGGTCGTGGGTTCGCTCGGACGGGCTGGCCAAGTGGAGTTTTCCGAGTTTTCTCCACGTCTGTAACGCCTAAATAGGGGCCAGTTTCCCTTAAAAAGACCTCCCGGAAGGCACCCCCAAGTGTTGCGTTGCCATAACTTAAACAAACAACAAAAAAACTCTTTTTTAATGTTTATTTTGGTCTCATCTACTATATAAAGAAGGAAGTTTGTTCATTTGTTCTTTATATATTTAGATACGGTTTGAACAAATGCAATGAAACTTTTCAGAGATAATTCTATCATCTAGGATGAGGTCAACGACTACTTTTCGTCGAATTAACCTCAACCCCTCGTCCACAAGAGGTCCCCTTTCTATCTGGCCAGCGAGATGATGGCATTCAAAAAGGAAAATTAATATAGCGCAAAATGTTTATAGGGATTTTCAAGGGTGCAAAGTTTAAATATTTTTTCTATTTTTCACGAAATTTGATTGGATGGCCTATTACTATTTCATATTCGACTGTGAATGATACATTAACGTTAGAAAAATTTGGATGTTTTGAATCATCTTCTCGTGCAGGAAAGTCAACAGTTATTTTCTGTTGAAAAACATGAATTCCTGTCTATCTGACCAATGAAATTGCACCATTTGTACCAAGTATCGCATTCTTAGAAAGCACAAAACATGTAATCTAGGAGGGTTTTCCAGGATGTCGAGCGTAAATCTTTGCTCCGTTTGCTTCTAAATGTTACTGCTTTTATTTTTGTTGAATGAATTTAAATAAGATTTTTATTGTTTTGTTACATTTNGGTCTTAAAGTAGAACTTGTAATTAAACTGTATATAATAATACTCCTTTATTTACATAATATTCAAATTACACACCTTTTTAAGGAACTTCTATACAAGCTTATTGACTTGTAATGAAATTACTATCTTAATGAATTAAATTAAAATAATAATAATAATAACTTTTCGGTTGAATTAGCGCATTAAATATTCTAAAATATTGCCGAAATTAGCTTTAAGAAAAGAGATCAACGATGCGAAACAGAGCTTTTATATATCAGTATGTTTTTCCTTGTGTTAATTTACAGTTTGTGTGTTTAAGATTACAAACAAACAAACAAAATAAAAAGCCTCCAAAGTAAAAATATTGTCACAATTAAATACAATTCAGTGTTGAATCAATTAAGATATTTTCTAATTAAACACTTTATAGATTTATTACTTCACACTACAAAAAGTGATTTTTCTATTCTCGGTTAAAGATTTGTGTTAATTTTCGAGCTTACAAAAGATGACGAATTAAAAAATAAAAATAGGACATTTTTTAAAATTGGATAATAAATACCTAATTTACTCACACCAATCAAAATAGTGTAAGATTTTTTTTATGCTTTATTATTATTAATTAATCAAATAATTATAAAATTTAAATATAAAGCATATAAAATTTAATCATTAACGCTAATCATTAACATAATGATTTATAAAAAAAATAATAATAATAAGTGATAACAATAGAATAATTCCTGTTAAGCAATATTTTATTTTTATTGTCTTTTTTATATAGCATAAAATATATATATATATATATTAATGTTTGAGGAGTATTTATAGTGTTGAAAGGGAAATAAAAAGCAATAATCTTAGATAGAAATCAATGATATAGTATTTATAGTGTGTTTATAATATATTTATAACTTATAAATTATAAAAGTTATCCTCCTTTTGTATTATTATATTTAAGTACAAGTTGTTTGTTTTCGAGCTCGTCGCCATTTTATCGCGTGACGCGTTGGCACGCGACAATAAAAGACTAATTATAACACTAATATATGTTATAAGTTCCCTTTAATTCAGTTAAAAATTGCACGGGAATATTAATAAGTATTTAAGCAATGGTTTAGCCATAATTTATAATTAAAATAAATTTAAAACAGTTTTTAATTTAGTAAAAATGAAAAAATGTTTATTAAAACTTTACCTTTAATAGCTCTATTAGTTCTTAAATCCATTAACATTCCTCCAACTGGTGCTAGTATTAAGGCAAATAACTGAGCCAAGCCATAAACTTGAGTGTACCAACCAGCTGAAATCAATCGTTATGATTAATCTATATTTTTTTAAAAATGAAAATGGGAAATAAATGGATAAAAAATTTTTACCATTTTTTACATTATTTGTTATTCTTTCCAGCCAAAGATTGAGTGATCCAGCATAATTAATTGTCGCCATCAGTAACCAAGAAAACCAATAAAGATGTATGAAAAATGAAAATGATAACAAGGAATCTTTGAGAGCAGGATCATCAGATGTAGTATTTGTGGAAGAGTTTTCACTTATTTCACTGGAATTTGTGCTGTCTGAATAGAAAAAAAAAGCATTAGAAGATAGTTTTATTTAATTATTTTCAAAGGTAAGTGGTAAAATATATTATCAACCCGTAGATAATGTCCAATCTCTGCTTGTGTCTTGCACTGTTTCGTTAGACAATTTGCGAATGTTGTTAGGAGAACCTGCATGAATTAGTAAATTAAGCTTGAAAATATTAATATATAAAACTCTGTTGAACATTATATACTTGGTAAAACTGAAAATTTTCCAAAATATTCTGGGTATATGGTAGATATTTCACTTATTCCTTTAAACAATAACTTTCTTTCTTCTCCATATTCTGGTATCCTTTTACAAGGAAAGATGAATAGAGTTGCTGGAAACATGAAACCACTAGCAATAACTAGAATGGCACATACCCATTCCCATCTACATCCTGCATCAAATACATACTAGAAGAAGTAAAAGAAATACTTTTAAATCATGCTAATTATAAGAAAAATTTGTTTACACTAATAAATTATCACCTTCATTATTATAAAAACTGCAGCAGAAGCACTGAAGGCTCCACTATACAATGTTATGATAGTGGAACGTTGTTTTGGAAAAAGATTAGCTACCTTTAAATAAATAAAGATATATTTTATGTTTTATTGAAGAGAATTAACCTTTTAATGCAAGATTAACTATACTTACTTGAAGATTGGCTATCCTTAAAGGAACAGCAGCTAAACACATTAAAATTAGAGCAGGAAATAGAAAGTATGGCATCTCTGCGTTAAAATTATAAATATAAATATTATATTTTGTGTTTAATCTATAAATTTTAAAGCATTCAACTAAAAGTTACCTGAGCTAGTAATTGAAAGCAGTACAGCACCTGTTGTGATAAAAGCACTGAAAAGTTTTAAAAAAATTCAAATTTAAACAATAATTCTTGCTTAAATTTCATCAAGAAAAGCTTATTTTTCTCTAATAAACTTACTTTAACAATAAACGAACGGGTCTTAGACCCCATTTATCAATAAGAAAACCCCAAATAACTGCACTCAAACCTACACAAAAAGAGCCTATAGTAAAAGCTAAATTCAGCATTTTATCTTGAGCTGTACAATTCAAATCTTCTTTTATCTAAAAAATATATAAAATAATTAATTTAAAAATGTATTCTTTTTTTTTTAAATATTAACAAAATTATTTCATTTATATTCATTAAAATTCAAATGGTTAGTAAATTTTTACAGGAAGTACAGGATTGTATCATGTAATAACAAATGATTTACATCTCAAGGTCTGTAGTTATAGATTTATTCTTTAAAATCTAAAAATAACTTTTAAAAAATATACATTTTTATTAATATAAAAATTGGATAATAATACACAAGTAAATACAGAATATATTCTTCATTCGTCCTTAAGGTTTTAAGAAAGACAAAAAAGGACCTCAACCCAAAACATTTGAAGGAAATTTATAAACTAAACAATAGAATAACTTACTTAATTTTTATTTTATATAATTTTTTCCTGAATATTTTATTATTTACATAAATTAAATATATATAATTTTCGTTCTATAACCCTGAAATCTCATGTGTATCCTAAGAGGATAACTGAAACTAATCTTAAGAAAATGATCTTGAATTTTTTTTTTTTTTTATATTCAACTAATTAAATAGAAGAAAAAAATACAGTTAAAACGCGAGATATTTTAATGGATTTTTCGATGATATTTTTTTTTTCCACACTTCAAACGTCATAAGTGAGAAAATTCGACTGAAAACGTTAATAGCTGCCAGTGACACACATTATGGCATTTATGACTCAATGCTCTGTTTAACTGTAGAAAATCCCTTCTAAATTATTAAGTTTCAACAAGAAAAATAAACTTTTCCTGTCAAAAATAACATAAATATATAACTTCATTTTAACTTCTATATGTTTATAAACACCAGAAATTGTAACAAACAATATAACAAGCCCAAGCAAGCATATTTATGAATAGGTCAAGGTATATAATAGTAAATTTCTCTAATAATTATTAAATATTTTGTTATTTTAATTATATATATAACTTATATCATTTACTAAGTTTAACCTTGTTCCTGTTTATGGGAAATTATACACAAGTAACAATGACAAAAACACAAGCAAATATCAAGAATTCCACTTGTCATTAAGCTACTTTCTCAAATGCACTCTTCTATAAAAGAAATTTCGAACCGGTAGTTTAAAGAAAATACTTCAACCGTTAAAAATAATATCTTAGATAAGAAAGAAAGAAAAAAAATATATATCAAATAAAATAAAATCTACTGAAGCACACGTGTAATTTACTGTGTAACAAGTTAACGTTGTCGATTGGCACAGATACCAATCTATACAAATCCTATAATTTGATTGCATTGTTTAGAAAAATTCTAACTAAAATTGCATTCATTATAAATACTTTAAATAGAGTTATTGATAGGAGGAAGTACATTTTAAAATATAATAATACATTAAAAGCTTGTGTTTTTTTCTCCTACTTTTACAAGAATGTTATGGTCTTAAAGTAGAACTTGTAATTAAACTGTATATAATAATACTCCTTTATTTACATAATATTCAAATTACACACCTTTTTAAGGAACTTCTATACAAGCTTATTGACTTGTAATGAAATTACTATCTTAATGAATTAAATTAAAAATTAAAAATTAATATTATAAGAAATTAAATCTATATAAAAGAATTCTTATAAATTTCTTTAACCATTCTTGCTGTAATTTCAGTAAAATTAAGTTTTTTAATTACAACTTTTACATAAAGAAAATAAGAAAAATTGTTAAATTTAAACACGATTCTTCTATTGATTTTAACCGGATCAATATATACAAAATCAAGTTTACATTTCCGTTATCCCACTGATTTATTCCTGTATGTTTAGTTCGAACATTAATATAAAAAAAGCATTATTAATCGACAGAACTCAAGCATTAAATGTTTTAAAATTGTAACCAGTTTTATATATAAATATATATATATAATTTTTTCTTTAAACGAACAGCCCATTTTAAGTCTGTTCGATACATTTGGAAGTTTAAATTACTATTATAAATTTAAAATTATGCGAAAAATAACTATCGAAATATCTATAGAATGAAGAAACATACCGTTAAAAACTATTATTATTACAGTAAATTCGACTTACCTGCAAGACAGTAACATTATAAGTTCGAGTTTGATTTTTACATAAATGACTATAAACTCCGTGTTTTTTTAACATATAATTGAGTGCGGCCCATCCTAGAATGTTACCACTGAAGATAAAAGTTTCTAAAAGACCGTAGACCAGCATATAAACTCTATTGCACCCATTCGTCATGGTTCATACACGAGGTATGAATGAGTTACTAAACTTTTTATACCAGTCACTTGGAGCGCTGTTGTACTTTCGTTCTAATTTTTTCCCCTTCCCCCTCCCCCCTCTCCCTCGCTTACCTTTTCTCTTATTTCATTCCAAAGTCTTTCAGATAATTATGTGTACAAATTAGATTTTAAGGCGGTTTAGAGGGAGGCCTACCTACAAATCCCCAGGATACTCGTATTAAACATTATTGTATGTATTATATTTTTTAAATAATAGTGTTTTTTTCCCTTAATACACCAGAAATACAATAATCTGTAATGTATGTTTATGAAGCCTTTATAAATGCCAAGACTGCTGATAGAACTTGGAAGTATATTAATTAATAGGGTGGCTCAAAAGTACATTAACCGTATCTTGTTTTTATGTGTTTTAGATATATTTGTGAATATGAATCGTGAACTGAATTTATAACAGCCTTTTCAACAAGTTTAGGCCTCTTATTTTTATTTGGAGTAAGAAGGACTTTTTCTTATACATTACAGTTTAGGATCATAACTAGTTTAAATCCGGTCCTAATTCTCTATATTTAAAATATATCACTATTATTATTATCCTTATAATAACCGTTCCACTTCATTTGTTATTTGGCTTTCTGTATTATATATATTTTAAATATCATTTCTAAAATTATATATTTATAAAAGGGATATTTACTCTTATAAATACTTATTTTTTAATGAGTTTTTAATAATGAAATTTAATTTTTATTAAAAGTTAACAAATGATAAACTATTGACTTCTAATACTTATAACTATTAGGTCTAAATTATAAATATCTAAATTTATATATCAATAAATTAAATATTTAATAAGTAGCGTGACGTGATCCAAAAGTCGGTTAACCGAAGGAACCACTTACATTCCATCAAAGGGTACGAGTTTGCTGCCATATCGATCAGCGGCGCGTTATAGCTTCATGGGATACAGGCAGATTTGAATTAGGGATCTCACGTAAAGTGTTGGCTACAGACGTTCTTATAGATTTTCTTATAAAAAAATTGATTTGGGGGCCCTTTTTATTCGTAGGAAAAGCGCTGATATCGGCTAGTTTGTGCTAAACTTTAGAGGCTTTAGTTTTATTAGTACACTATTACGATTTGTTAGACGTTATTCCTGTATATTCCATTTTGTAATGGTAAAGTTTAAAATAACGTTGTTTTGTCAAAATGAATGCAACTCATATAGGCCCTATACATTTACATACTTTATATTGGTCACTTTCAATTACTGGCATGGATTGGAAGGAGAAATAGACATAGAAAGATGAAATGATGCAGTCAAAATATATTACCAGATAAAAAATAATAATAATATTTCATGTCCTGTGAAGTTCCTTAGACTTAGATCAACTAAGAATCCTTTGATAGTAGGATTCTTTGATACTTTAATTCTTTGATACCATAGGATTTTAGTTTCCATTTAAATAAGAGTGATTTTTAAATTTTATTAATTACATACCGTATTTATTATTTTTAAAAAAATAGATAAAATCATAAAATTTCTAAAAATTAACCTTAAAATCATAAAAAATAATTATTATGCCTTTTTGTCCTTTTTTAACACTATTTATAATTTATTTTGTATACTAGTACATTCTATATATTAACAGGACTTATTATACTGGAATTATGGATGCAGATATTTAGTCTTACAGTTTAAAAATAATGTTCTTTATTAAGTTCACCTGTGAACTTAATTAATAGGGTGGCCCAAAAGTACATTAACCGTATCTTGTTTTTATGTGTTTTAGATATATTTGTGAATATGAATCGTGAACTGAATTTATAACAACCTTTTGAACATGCTAAACAAGCTACAGTTTAGGGCCTCTTATTTTTTTATTAAAAATAATGTTCTTTATTAAGTTCACCTGTGAACTTAATAAAGAACATTATTTTTAAACTGTAAGACTAAATATCTGCATCCATAATTCCAGTATAATAAGTCCTGTTAATATATAGAATGTACTAGTAGTCTATACAAAATAAATTATAAATAGTCATAAAAAATAAATTGTTTTAACAAAAAGTTTTTATAGTTTTCATGAGAGCTAATTCTATGTAATTGTATATTAGCCTATATCTTTGTAATAAAAAAAATAGATACCTTTTTTTTAATTGATTTTTATAGATGTAAGAGCGAAGCAATCGTCAATATCGATGTCAACAATTGAGCATTTGCCCTTTAGGTTAATGACTGATCATTTACCTGAAAATTATGTAAAGAAAGATTAAATTATTTATTATTTTTTAAATGTGTATTGCACTTTATATCAATACATTTGATTGAAATAATATAATATAGAGCAACACTTACGATTCTTTCAAAAGATGAAGAATTATGGATGAGGAAGATTCATCCAAGATTCGTGGATGGCTAACGTGGTTTATAGCAAGGCTTCCTAACGGGAGTCGGTATTGACCCCTGAATTAGTGCAAATTAATGAAAGTTTGTAATATTTTCTCATAAAAGATTAGTTTGGAGCTCTATGCTGGTGGGGGCCTCGTGAAACTGCCCTTTTAGCCCATAGGATAACGAGGCATTGTATACGCGAATATATTTTGCATGAACGGAGTCGTAGTACTAATGACGAGTTTTCGACAGTCCTTTTGTCCCTTTCGATATTTAAAAATATGTAAAAACATAATTATTGCAGAATTAAAATTATAAAATGGACTCATTCGGTGCAAAATTGGCACTGTTAGTTTGGGGACGCCTCCTTTCTGAGGGTACAGGGTCATCATATTTCTATATTTTCTATAGAAAGGGCTGCTCAGCATTCTCTTTGAAATTCAAAATGCAGATAGAAACGTTATGCAGCCCTAGACTGTAGCAAAGTATATTTTAAACAAAGAAACTCTACCATCTCTACACTCGATTAATTGTTGTCTACACATCTTAATTAAAGGAATGTGTAGTGTAGATACTACATAGTTTAGAAGCATGCAGTATGCTTAATGTATACTGCATGCTTCTAAACTTTATACTTGTTAAGTGTTTGTGTATGATATAGAAGCATGGAGAAGTATCAATATATTCTCTCGTCTAGTTTATGACCTATGCACCTTCTAGAATGAATATTTGAAGAATAATTTTAACTTAAAAAACAATTCAAATGACAATTCTACGTCTCTTTTCGTGTTATATACAGTTTTTAACCTCAAATTAATGATTGTATATATACATGTAAGAGGCAGCATTTTTTATTTATTCATAAATCAATAATATTACCATAAATATGTCAAATATAGTAATGAAACTGGAACATAGACGAGTTCAATAGTTGACAATATCATTGTTCGTTAAATAGTATAATTTTATCAATAAATTATTCCATATTTGTGACACTTACACGGTCCAAAATCCTTACTTTTATTTAGAACAAGAGCAATAAAGCATTAATTTTATGGAGATTATGAAGTTAGCATACTATATTGTATTAATTCGAATATAAGACACACTTTTCTTCATGTTTCCTAATTAAAAATTGAGATACCTCTTAAATTCTATATATATTTTTATCCCTTTTTAAAATCTGCATATAAATCTTACAGAATTTTTTGTATATTTTACATTTTACGTTAATTATACTTTATTTTATGTACATTATCCATGTCTTTTACTCTTTAATAAAACATTTTGATTTACGTAAATAAAGAAAACACAATTATAAAATAAATAAATAAATTCGGAGCTCTTCCGTATCCAAGATTCTGAGAAGAAAAGCCCCGAAATTCACTGTTCCTTACCTATTTTCTATTTATATAAATATAATACGTCTGCCAGAAAAACTCTGGTCTTATAAATAAATAAATTTAAAATTTTGTGAGTATCGTGTCAAAGGTTAGACTTTTAGTTCTATTAACACTCCACAAATTTCAAATTTTTCTATCCAAATATATAAACCTGAACGACCTTTCTTGGACATGCTACGAATTATATTATTATAATTTAATATCTAACTTCAATTTTCTAATCTTATTACAAAGTCGAAAATATCTTTTATATAATTATATAATTTTCTAAGTATTTTCCTGTTTCCTTTTCTCGTATTATAAAATTAACTTAATAGTGTCAAGGTTCAGCGTATCCATAATATGAGATAAAAACAAACAACGTATTTTAATTTGCTTCTATAATGCTAAATATTATGTTGATTTTATTTATAAAATAGGTAAAAAAAAAAACAGTCAAAGATTTTATAGTATTATTTTTTCCCTACAAATCCCTAAATCTTCACCGAATCCGGGGAAAAAAATCTCCAACTCTTCCCCTGCTCTCGGATATTTCTGCGATATGCGGTATGAAAAGGGCCCTACGAACTTTAAATTTAAATCCCTGATTAAAATTAGTACTGTATATCTGTTTATTACAGAATGGGTCAAAGTTTAGTCTTTCAGGTAAAAAAAAAAAATAATGGGTTAATAAGAATAATATTTCTTTATTCAATCTAAACCTATCTCATTCAAGGCTGGGCTGAACATAGAAATCATAGGGTACTACAGGGTAATTAAAATGTTTTTTTTTTTATGTTTATTCTTTCTTTGGAAGATAGAATTTGTAATATTAAATTACAGGAAAATATTTTAATATGTTTCAAGTTACATGAAATTATATTTCACAATAAAACAGAACTGATAATTAGGAGCAAACTTACGAAGTCGAAAATATTTTCTATGAATGATTTCTTCAATTAATTGCTAAGATTTACGACATTTTAACAGATTTTATGCTAAATACTTTGTATTTATGTCAAAATATTATACAGTGGGTGATCGGTTAACGAACATAATCCGTTCTAAGAGTTTGTTCGTTATCCGAATTGTTCGTTAACCGATTATCGATTTACCATAGGTTTTTATGGGAATTTGATTAATTCGTTCCGGAGACTCCAAAAGTAAAATATATATACTTTTTTTTACTAC